CTGTCTGTACAGTCATAATACTCTCTTGTTAATTATAAACCATGGAAACCGGAATAATTGAATTTGGAATATGTTAATTCTGACAAATATCTATTTTCTTAACACTTCAAATATTCAAATATCATGTGCATACAAATGCAGGTTATGAATACTATGACATCAAGATTACAATTAATACAATAAATTTAAATAGAAGCTTGATGTTAATCCTTGGGGGGAAATAAGCTTTCCTAATGAACTTTATTTTAAAATGCTTTGCTTTGACTTACTATATTTCATGTTAGCAAATTGTTTCATATGTAAAAGTCTAACTGAATAATACTTATTATAAATGATGGTTGCTCCTTCATGCTTTTTTTAGAGACTGATCTGCTAATTTAGTAGTATTTTGTGTGATTATGTCAATGACCTGGCCATCTTCCAAGTTTACATATTTATCAAAAGGGTCTTTTATATGTTCATCAATTAAATCATCCTTGCTGTCTTTACTATCACCTTCACAGTCAATTTCTGCAGATACTCATCTTCATTGTCTGATCCAAATGATAAATGAATCAAATACAAAAGACTTAGGTTCATTGTCTTGATTATAGAAGCCTTATTATCATATCAGTTGAAAATCAATCATTTTGTGTTGTTTATTAATTTACCATATTAATATACTTGACCTGGTCTATATTGTCATTTGTATGAGCGATTACATTCTATTTGAGAAGGCAAAGTGACAGCAACTAAATAAGCATCCACTGTCTGTTGTAAATCTTTACCATTGTCCTAAAGATTGAAATTCATTAAAAAAATTTTGGGTTCTAATTCTCAACTTCTACATAAAAGTTGCTTTCTTACAAATGCAATGCAAAAAAACTTGCATATTGTAAAGAATAATCATATTTCTTGTTGCTGTCAGATTTGTAGGTTTGGAAAGATAGATGCTCAGTAGAATGTATCCTTTTTGAAGGATAAGGTTCACTGTAAAAATCTAAGACTTTTTCTCTCTCAGAATCTAGTGAAGTAGACACTAATTTCAAGGCAGTCCCATCTGCTTTGTAACCTAAATTGGTAATAAAAATTTAATTCCATAATCAGATGACGAAAAATAGGTGGCGTTAATCAGCCCATGTAATAGAATATGAATTAAGGAACTCACGCGTCCTTCTTGGAGCCTATTATTTTCGAATATTTCCTTCCAAAAGTAGGTGGTCTGTTATAGCTATCGGCTAATAGAAGGAAAAGATCATTTAAGCGTAGTGACTGAATCTGCTGTCAACTTAACCCGACCCACGCAAGAACAAGCAGACCACGGGGGAACAACACGCCATGCCCCAGCAGCGGGACGACACGGCTGCTAGGGTGTGGTAAGCTTTCATGCGTGAAGAAGTGAGGCTGCTGGGGAACAACACGCCATTCCACCAGCACGGGACGACACGGCGCTGGGGACGCAGCCCACTTCACGTAACGGATTAATTGGTGTATTTAATTAAACAAAGCCTACCTGTTTTTAATATTTTGGCTGCGGCGCGTTGTAGAGCAACTGGAACTTCTTTATTGCAAAGTCCTTGACAGCACAATGAACCTTTTCTTCCAAACCCTGTTGGCATACTATTCACTAAATTATTAATCACATTATTATGTATCTCACTCTAAACGATGGTGATATTTCTACAAAAAATATGTAACAAATTACGACTTTTACATACGGCAAAAGGTATGTTCCGAAGGTTGGTACCGCAACGAAGAAAAAAAAGGTTTCATACCTTCCGAAGTCATACTTTTGTTGTCGCGCTTTTGTAAGAACGCGAGAAATGGTACAGCAAAGGAAAATTCGACAAAGAGTAAGCAAGCGACACGACAAATGCACAAAAAAAGAAAAGAAAAGAAAAGAAAAATGCAACAATGCGTGGAGAGTTACCGAGAGTTAGAACGCGAGAAGTGACGCAAAGTAGAAAGCAGCAGCGCAGTGAAGAAAAAAAAAACGGGGATCTTTTATCCATGTGATGATCATCTAGATGAGCACGTGGACAAAATATAATAATAATATACAAGTGAAACTCGATATAACGACACGCATTTTATCTTGAGAAATCGACTTCCAATTTTTTTTTTCACTTTTAAGGCTTCGCTTAATCTCATCCCACAGATTTTCTATTGGGTTAAGGTCAGACTTTGGGCTGGCCAAGAGAGCGTTTGGAGAGATTTTTCTTCTCGAAATTCAATGGCAATAAATGGTTTACGACGAGCAGCACAATTTTAAGTCTTAACAAGTTAAGTGCACGCCGAATGGTTGAGACAGAGATTTCTTGTCCGTTCACATTTCCGACAATTTTTTTATTCGTTTAAGCTTTTTACGATCTGAAGATTGTAAGAGACATGGTCATCCAGCGTGCCTTTGCTTCGGTTGATCCAGTAACATTGTATCGGTTTATACAAGCTGAAACTGCTGAATGGCCACATTCCACGATTTTAGCTAGAATGTCCGATTTTATGACCACAAAGAATACTGTTTCTTTGAAAGTCAGTGAGTTGTTTCCTTTACCCATGATTCTCTTTAAAAAAAAAAAAATAGACGCGACAGATTGTTTTTTGTTTATTTATTTATATTTACAGCATGACAATTTAGGTAACAATTGACATAACAAACATCCTAAATCAGTAGTGTAGAACCATTTTTTATTATTGTGAAAGACGCTGTTATTATAATAAAACTGAGCAATTTATGCAATAAGAAAGTGTCCGTAAGCTTTTGAGTACCCTCTATATATCGAGCATGTCAGTATATCCAAAATTTTTATAACGACAGCTTAGTAATGTTCAACAAATTGTCATTATAACAAAAAACATTGACTTTATTGGATAGAATTTAATACAATAAAACAACCGTTGAATTTAAGTATTATTACAAGAACTAAAAAAGCTATCAATCTTTTAGAGTTTATCTCTTGAACTGCCAAGTTTTCTTCTAAATTAATTAACTCGGTCACAAAAGGTAGACTTACTTCAATTTCGCTCTGTTGCTGAATATATGCCTTTAATCCCTTTGCAAATCTGAGGCCTCTGATGCGCTAATAATAACATTCGAAACGTCTTCATCTATTTCCTCGTGTCACACAAATAGCAGAGTCAATTCCGATCTACTCAGCGACAGGTAACAAATCATCTTTTCCGATTCCCAAGATTAGCAATTCGCTACTACTATCCATCTCATGATAATTTCTCTCTTTTTGTAAAAGATGAAAGTCTTATTTGCGGCTTTTCCCAACTAGCAAGAATTGTGAAATTACTGATCTGCGTTCGATTGGTACGTGCAGAGTTAGCTGCTTCAATTCGATTAGTACAACACAGTTTGCGATAATGTGACTTGAATGACCATATAATAGGTAAGAAGAGTAGCTCTAACTCGTTTTCTTTGTCCCACGTATGTGATGAAGTATCAAGAGAATCTTGCGGTAATTTTTGTGCATGTCAGCGTTTAATTTACGGAGCCCAATGTTGAAACATACTAGTCTGCATCCAATAATAACAAACGGGCAGATTTGCTTTACTGATTCCTTTGAGAATACGTGGAGTATTAAATTTGTGAATAAACAAGGGCGGAAGTTTATCACTATTAGCATTACACGTAAGCATTACACGTAACATCACCGTCACGCATTTTTTTACGCCAGACATTCTATCATGAGCACGAGTTTTGGATGGCATTAAATCCCAGTACAGCGCAGTTTCGTCACAATTATAAATTCGGACTTGGCCGTTGCCGTTTTCGTCTGCAAATCCATTCGGTACTCTAGAAGATGTTCAGTAGCTGCTTCACCCGATTTTGTAATCTCAAAAATATTATGCCTTTTTTTAAAATTAGTAAACCATCGGCTAGACGCGGTGAAGTTTGCATTTGGTACGATTAGTCGAGCTAAATCTAATGCCTTGCTTGAAGTCCATTAACTGAAACCCCACATTCAATAGCATTATCGAACCATAATGCCAAAGCTTCGTGGGAATAACGGCGTGCGTCGTCGTTTATATTTGGCTGTAGCTGTATTGCTCTCGATATTGATCTGCTTATCAGAATTTCAGCGACCGAGGACCGTCCTATTCCAAATTCATTAGCCAGTTGTTGTTGTTAAATTGGTGTCATCGCGCGCTCGTTGACAGAGTTGCTTTTTTTGAAAACCGTTAAGACTTTTTCTTTAATTCTTTTTCGAGCGTACAAAAAAAAAGCCCAGTATTTTGAATAGAACATTATAAGATCAACTTTCTAACCTACCTTTACTGCTTATTAATCTCATTATTTGTAAATGACAATAAATCAATCGAATGTATTGGATTACGACTATGTGCTTAAGGTAAACAAACGAGACCGGGTAACCAAAAATACAGTCAACTCTGTTTATACCGGAAATGTATATACCGGAATCTCACGGGCAGATTCTTGCGCACCGTTCGTTTCATATGAAAATTCTTTGTTTATACCTATAAACTTTCCATATACCGATCTGGAAGGACACAGAGAGCTATGCCAACCAAACAGAGTTGACTGTACTAGGATCAGAGATGTGTATCACTTGAATTTGCCTAATTTAATCGTCTCGTTATAGTAAACGTCGATGCCTGTCTGTCCAACTAGCATTTCCCAAAAATGTCGTTATACCTATAACGAAATTTTACATACAATGTCGTTACACTAAATAAGTTTTATTGTAAACGCTATCTCTGTCGGTTTATCAAGGTTGTCGTTATATAGCAGTGTCGTTATATCGAGTTTCACTTTCACTTGTAATAGTAATATCAAAGGATTCCGATCCCGGAACCTTCGGATGAGGAATATCTATCGCATGTCACCACATCAAAAATCCAACGGCGGTTGGCACAATAATAATAATAGTAAAGCATCTATTAATACGCGATTTAATACTAATACAGAAAACCATTTCTAATTATATATTTCTATCATCGCTACCCAACAAACTAGCAATAAATTATAAATCAGCATATTAGTATCACATGGTCTACAAGAAATCAAGCATCAATTCATTTAGTTCAAGCAAATGCTCATTAAACAATCGCCTATTTTGTGATGGTCCACCATCAAGTCTCCCAGCTGTATCTGGTTCTTTAGCATTATCTATGTTGTAAATAACCTCAAGCATAGCCTGATATTCTTCGAACGTAAATTCAGGCTTGTTGTCCCGACTGTTCTTATTATTCCGTACAGAGGCAAGCATATCCTAAGAAACATTTAAGAATAGTATGAAAATTATTTGGCGCGTACTAATAAATCCAACACAAGAGGAAATATTACGGATTACATACCCCAGGTCCGTGTTTGTACAATTCGTAATATCGCTTTGCTCTATCTAAAGATATTTCCTTTGGATTATCCACGATATTCTTTAAATTCTGTTGGAGAGCCAGGATGTTACGCAACATCTTATTAGCTCCGTTAGGATTTAGATTCTTCATAAAGGTAACATTGTTGATTAGGAGTTTTTCCATCAATTTATCAAGACCTTCGAAGATGAACCTTAAAAGACGAATTGATTAGTCGGAGTCATATTAACGTTATATCTTTCATCATTATACAAATCTTGTACTCACTTGTGTTCTCGCGAAGGCAGACTAGATGAAAGATAGTCATCACATTTGACAAGGTCTTCATTTAGTTGGATAATATATGGGTCAGGTTCGACTGCTTCTTCCATCAGCTGATAGTTACCCTATTCAAAAAGTTATTACGTTAGTATCATTCCGTTCAAAAAGCAAATGTTCCCCTGACTTCAGTTGACGTATATAATTCATTACTTACTTCTCTAGTTGCAAGATCTATGTAATGCATAGTATGGCAACGCATCTCAACACGAAGAGTAAATAGGCACTGTTCCGCTAACTGTTGGAAGGTGGCTAGTAGTGCATCAAACCGACTGCGTGTAATAGAAGAATCGATGGAGGTCCAAAAAAAAAGCGATGTTTATAAATTAATACAGACGGTTCACGAATATTTGGTAATAATTAAATCAGGTCTAAGACAATTTCCCTAACAAACCATACTCACGTCGCCATTTCACCAGTCAGTGGCAACATAACCTCTTCCTCATTCTTAGCCTTTTCTTTTTCCTTTACTGCAACACCATTAGCCATATTCAATGCATCATAAGATGACCAGCGACGGTTGGATTTGGCCTATTATTACAGCCGTCATTAACAAAAACGTTCATAATGTTATATCTCGATACAATGATGTCTATATATTCCGTTAGCATACAAGATTAGAAATGGGAATTTAATTTCTTACCAGTTTACCATCATCCATTCTAGCAACATTCTCGTATGCCAGGCCACGCAATTGCCATATTTTGGCAACAAACCATTTCTAAACAATCAATAAATCAATAAATATTTCTGCCGAGAGTTATTAATAAACCACTATAAATCACAACTAATAATGCATTTCACGTACCAAGCTATGATACAAAATAGCAACCGATTTTATCTTATTCCCATCGACTATCAACTCCCCAGTTCGGATGATTCTATTCTTTTTAAATCTCATCAGAGTTTTGATTTCCTATAAAAGACAATGGAAAAGAAAGTCAATGCTTATAGTATTCAATAGTTTAAGTGCTCCGTATCGTGTATAAGGTTACCTTTTTGCATAACTCAGCCCTTCTTCTTTTGTTCTTTACTGCGTCGTCGGCAAGGTAAGGATATTGAGCGAACACATCGGCAAGTTGGTCTTGCTGTACCCATGTAGCACTAATTTTCTGCTGGTTTCTCGAGTCAGAAGAGTCATCTTTTAACGAGTTCTTGGATACAATGGCTGCGTTAGGAACAACAAAAAGTTATTTTATGTGATAGTGTATATGTATACGCGAGATATTAACTGTAACAGCATATACCTTGATATTGTTCAAAGCAATTGACGTAGTATTTTGTCAATATTCTTACTATCATTCTACCATATTCGTCTTTATGAAAAGACATCGTTCGAAGCATTGAGCAGAGACTTTCGATAAGCATCATGAGCGAGGACGCACTCTATAAACGGTAAACAATATTACATTAATAAAGGCAAAATGCAGATGTCGTTTGTTTTTATGTCACATATTCAATTTGATTACCTTGACAATAGGCAGTGGTGCAAATCTCTTGTATTTAGCGTCCTCTTGGAAGGCTCGTGGGTCTAATCACAAATGAAGATGAGTTTAAGATAGTTGCTTACAAGTTGTGAATGCAAACTGTTATTATCTACAGTGTCTCAACGTATTCCTACCATTAGTAGCCTGGTCGAATAACTCCATGACCTTATCCTCAATTTGCGGCAAAAATACATTAAACACGAAATCATCCAAGAACACCGAAAAGTCAACCGTCCCTGCATCACCGCTAGAAAAGAGAATGAGAGTTAACCAATAGGTTAAGATGACGATTATCTTTCATTACTACCTAGTCAGATTTGACCTTAATATGGTTAACTCACCTAGACGAAACGATATTTTTGACGTTGTTAAGAAATACCATTGTCGGCTCAAACAACACTGACACATTGAATGGGTCTGGTCTCACTACCAGCCTATGTCCAACGGTCATGTTCGTGTTTGCAAACTTATCAACCACTAGACCAGATAATACAATACGGTCGCCGTTAGTCTTCCCAAATATATCTGGGAGAGATTTCTGTAACACCTTTGTGATATCTTCATTGTATTGTTTGTCGAGGACTATAGTAGTCGTTTGATCCGTGTCGGAAAATTTGAAGAGTTGCTGTGGGAATGCAATAAAATAAAGCGAAGTCATAGGAAGATAATGAGAGTGTAATCCTGTAAAAAAGCAGTTATGCGTAATAAAATATGAGGCCGACCCATTGCACCAAGTTAATGCGTATTACAAACCTTTGATCTGTCTCGTGGCTTTTTCTCTTTAATGAGGTCGTTCATGGTTGCCGATGGAGTTGCAAAAATATCTTTCTCTCGTTCATCATCAGTGATATAATCTCGCAACAAGGCACGTAGCTAAATAGGGTAGAAAATCAATCACGTTTAACAACGAGCAAACAAACACATGCGAATAATTGGACAAACCATGAAAACGAACTAACATAGTTAATTAATATAAAGCATACATACTTCACTTTGGATTGGTTTCCATATTTCTATGAAGGAATATACTCTTATCTTTTGTGTCCCTAATAAAATGTATGTAATGTTTAGCTTTCTCATCTGTTTTACCATCTGAAGTACTGGTTTATCAGCCGTTGATTATATCAGAATACTTGGAACAGCTCTTACCGTTAATGTTCTTAAGGTAACTCGGCCTCTATTGGGATGTAATGATCAATTTAATTAAAGCTCTACAATTGACCGATATCCTCACACTCCATCCACCATTATTCTCCCTACCCTTAATGATAAATACCCTACTTATCCTCTCAACAACGTTCAGAATAAATCTGTGTCCCTGTAATACAGCATCTAATTTCGAATATAAAGTCCAGAGAAGATCTCGAAGTATTTCCATTTGCGTTTCGTTTTTTGGTGAATCAAAAAAATATCTGTTCATGTGATCAGTTTTTTTAGTATTCATCGTCGCAAACACGTCAACTGTTCGCCTGTTCAGTGAGTGGGAATAATAAAATGTGTAAGTAAAAGAGGAAGATATCTAGAAATCTGAAAAAATTGTTACAATAGAGCTATTAAATATGACATGCGCTATTGCTTAGTGATGTATTCGGAAAAAATAATTACCGTTCTTCTACTTCAGCAATAGTTTTGTCCACAAGTTGATATATTTCTATTGGAAGGTTTTGACTTATCGTCTATTAAAAATGTATGCTTGGTTAAAGTCTCATAAATCTAAAGGCTAGTCTACTAAATCAGCCTTCACACTAACCTCCAGTGCAAGTGGTAGTTTTCCAATCAATGCCAGCGATTCTAATATTATTTCCATGTAATAAAATGAATCCGACTCGGGATTAATATCTAAATTTTCTTTAATCTATAATCACAATAATATTATAATAATTAACTCGTTGTAGCCATATAACAGTCAAAATACTATGCATTAATATAACCAGCGTTTTCACCATACCGCTTCTTCATCATCTCCTGATGAATTCAAAGCAGGGCTTGTTGATTTAGGCAAAGCAGGGCTTATTGGTTTAGGCGATGAAGTCAGCATTGGGGATCGAGGAGATCTGGGAACCAGCGATGAGTTTATCGATATTGACGTATTGACTGTAGATACGATTGTTAATATAGCATGAAAATTAAACACGTGTGCGTTAAAGTTGACTGACAGAACTAAAAATTTGTACAATTACCGGAAAGACTCTGGCTCTTGCTTCCAATGCCATCCGCATGATTAGACACTGATCGTATCTCCTTCTCCGAATTCAAGTCAAAAATGGCTGCAGGTACTGCCTGGACGCATTAGATTAGATTCCAGTACACCCACATTATTAATATAAAGGCTTACTAATAATACTTTCTTATGCTTTAACTACTTACATGAAGCCTGGTCCTTAGAATATCTAACCCATCGGCTATCACAGTACGGGCTTTTGAGATAGAGATGGTTATGAAGCTGCTCTATAAGGACTTCGTGAAATGACTAATTGATTAAAAGAGGAAAGACATGTAACAGCGTTATTAGACAGTTAGCTTAATAACTAAATTGAGTGTCATAGGTGTTGATGGAATAATGGTCTATGTGAATAAAACTTTTACGCACATTCTGTTGTGCTTTAAGATACCGTTTCAGATCAGACAGGGCCCCAATGCCAGCCATCTCTCTTCTGTCCATTGTGCGAATGGCCTCGAGAAGCGTCTTGGCAGCAGTGAGAAAGTGTTTCTCACGAATCAGGACTTCAAGCTTTTCCGGTGTTCCTTTAACCTCTTCTCTGTGTATTCAGAATGCATTCAGTAGACTTGTTGGATGCAAAATACCCAAACCCGGTAATATGACTAGTTATGCTATTTTCATTTACTCGCTAACTGATATCTTTTGTCCACATACATTAAATCCAATATCCTTATCATTTCTTTGTATTGTTGACTACGAAACCACAACTGCATCAAATCCGCCCGCTTTGACAGTAAAGATTGCTTGCATTGCTTCAATTGATTCTTTATTTCGCAAACTCGTTCTTGAGAATCTGATTCATCATGAAAAGAATATTCGTACTCGATAATGCATTCTACATCATAACACAAAACTGGTGTCTTTCAATAACACTCTAAATTACCTTCAATGTTCATAATTACACCACCAAATGTTCCAATTGAGCTGTTGAATCCCTGATAGTAATCTACACAGAAAGTAAGATTACTAACCCATTTGAATCAAATGCAACCTGAAACGGATCAAAAACATGCTTTACCATTTACTATAAGTCCAAGAGCTTTATTCAAGGTATCCATGGTACGTTGAAACGCTCCGTAGTCTTTACCAAGAGAACTATCGTCAAGCAATGCCAGCGCAAGCTTAACTGGATTGAACTAGATGCAGGAAATGCATATTTATTAAATATAGATAAAAAGTGCAATTCGAAAATTATGAGCAGTGTAATCGTGCTGTTTTTTATCTACTTACGTCGGCATCAAGCATGAAGTCCCATTGATTGCTAATCATGCGCATAACATCTATCAGTAGGGAAGGTAAGGTAAGTTGAGAGCCACAAAGTAAAAGGCACCTCGACCATTCAACTTGCCTTCCATCTCTCTGAGACTATCCTCATTGGCTGCTCTCGTATCCTCTACATACATAACATCGCTAACATAGTAGGCCATGGTAACTGCTACAAAGGACGAGGAAGGATTAAGAGACTTGGGTATTCCCACGATTAAAGTTTTAGCGCGACACTTCAGAAAATTGCTTACAGTATTTGATTGGTTAAGTATAGTAAACAAGCAAATCTTTTTGTGCGATTTGCCTGCGTCATTGTAATAAGTGCGCGTATTAGTGTAGTATTTGATAGTTTAGCAATGTCTTCCATATGATACGTACCGTATTTCTTTCAGCATTGAGATGCAATGACATTTTCCAAACGAACAAATGCCTTTACCTACAGTATTTTTAGTTCTGCCTAACACATTACCCGATCTACAATAATATAATATTATTACGAGATATTAAAATAACATATTAATATTTAAAGAAGTACTGTTCCATAATTGCAGCCTTACCTCAATTGGTAAGCATGTTTACATTAAACGCACTTTTAATTTATCTGTAGCTAAGGCTTTAGCGAACAGGTCTGTAGAATTTGTCTGGTTATAGTAATAGTAGTATATTTTGACCGATGTGTGGTCTATACTATATACCAACTTTTTAAGTTATTATAGATAGTCCGCATTGGAACCTTTGTTGCTTTGTGAATGTCTTTGGCTGAACGGACTCATATGTTCCAAAAATGTATTACACTTTCTCGCTGGTTTTTTAAATCGGAGCTTGCCATTTTGTTAATATTTTGTTAAAAATGTGGCTTCTAAAAGACATTACGCTATTTAATAGAAACCAAGTTTACGTGATTTAGTTTATTTTTGGGGAAAGTTACGCAATTTCTTTGCTTTACACACTGTAAGTGGGAATTCAATCTTGTCCATCGAATTCCGAATTGGTAAAAATACGATTGCTAATTAATTGTCTATAAACGTGAAATTTGTATGCAAAGCAATGACCCCTCTCAGGATAACCCCCAAATCGGCATGAGACGTATTGTAAAAAATGATCTGCACAAATATTTGGGGTTTGAATTTCGAAGTCTGGGGTCTGATGCATGGAACGGCCCTTGTATTACTCAACTTCAAACTGTTGTAGAGAAAGGTTTTACTAATGTACTTGAGGTAAAGACTACCAATATGAGTAGAGGGGACTGCTGAGAACATGTCTATGAAAAAACAACATTTTGTATAACCAGAACGTTTAATCTTCGCCGTTAAACCGTTAGAAGATGGTTACACCCCGACTATAATATCCAAAAGAATATACTCTTCATCTATTATATTTGGAAGTATGTAAACTCTTACCAACAATGTTATATGGAGTAATTTGTTTTTAAGATGAACGTTTAGTTTTCGTTTTTATAAAGGCAAATGATATTGTTTTTTTTTAGTGTTATATTGCTTTAGTAACGTTGTTTAAAGGATTAGTAAACAGCTTGAGAGAATAAAAAAATGATACATGGGGGCTTTTTAGTTATGATATATAAATAATAAGCTATAAATATGTATCAACTTTCATATACTTCAATAATATGTTCAAGTTTTATAATATGATTATGACTCAATAAAGTTTATGTTAAATATATTTAATTTCGTTTCAAGTCATTCGGTCGAGGTGATTGTACGTTTTTCTTTCTTTTCTCGATGGTCAATAAACCACTGTGACCAATCGAGTTTACTGACTTCTCGACCATCTGCTTGAGTTTTACCTTCTTTGCATCTCGATACCGTTCTATTGAACTCGTCCACCAAATTGTCTATATTTATGAATCAGTTGGTTAATCATATTGATATATAGAAATTTTTATAGTATTGATTATTCATATAGAAACGCGTCGATCAATACCGATTCATATAAATTCGTTGATCAATACGCGTTGTTTAGATTTATCGATTGATATAAATTTGATCAAGTTTATACTTTCATTGTTAACTTTTCTTCTCATTATGTCTTCTCCGTCTCGTCTCGCTCTCCACTCCCATTCCAAAAACCACAAAGAACAAATGTTAATTATGTCTGGTAATATATATTTAGTTTATCGTATCTTCATATGAAATTTGTACAAGAGCACGTTTCCTATGTGACTTTTACCGTATAATGTTTTTTCCGTTCTTTCTTTTCCTCAATTGCGTCCCTATATGTTCGATTATATTCGTTTACTAAATTGTTCATATTTTACGAACCTTCTAAATAACTACTATCACCTAATTTCTTTATCATTCCTACTCGTTTTTTCAAAGCTGTAAGTACTAATATGTAAGTTTTATACACATCTCTTTGTACCAACCCTCAAACAGTAACTCGATTCTACACTACCTACAATAAATCTTCTATTTTTTCCAAAGAGCTCTGCTATGTACGACGCTAAATATGCATACCCCTTTGCATCAGTCAAACAGTAATGTAGTTCATCAATTTTCAATATCTGATTACCCTACAACAAAGGACAAATATACATGCAGTGTAACTTTATCTCCTGTCGGAAATATTCATGTATTAAAAATACGAGGAAAATCTCATAAATATGCTATCGTTTACGTTTCGACAAAAAATACAATCGTATTTTTTTAATCCGGTTACAACCTGACTCGTAATGAAGGGACAATCTCTTAAACTTTCTTCGATTGTTCTTTTTTACCTATCGGTATTGTTGGCATCTAATATCATTGTTGATGCTGTGAAATGTTCAACCACAACAATGACGACGACGACGACAACGACGATCTCAACCTCTTGCACCGCTTTTCCCACTCCCGTTCTCACTTGTGATTGTGAAAGTGAAATTCTCATAAAAAAAAGTTGCGGTGCTGGTAACGGTTTTGGAGATGGCGATTGTGTGGAAACTAAGACGTGTACGCTTACAAAAACTGAATGCAAGCTACCATGTTGTTCGGCTCCCTATGCTCCAGGATGGGACAATTTTGTTGTACAAACATTACATAATTTTATTCCTGGGATCAACTCCGCCGAAGACTGTTGTAAGGCGTGTATGGCTACGGATTGTCTTGGATGGCAGTTCAATATTGACCCTGATGGTCGTGGTTTCTGTTTACAGGCCAATAATCTTGGAGCTTCCAATGCTTGTCTTACACCGCCAGTTCGTACTAATTGGGCTAGTGGAATAAAGAGCTGTCCCAATGGTCATCCTTGTGCGGCATAGCATGTTTTAATTAATTTTTCGTTTTGTTATTTTTTTTTTAGTAATTTGGGGTTGATAAACAACGGTTTTTTTAAGGAACGAGACATTTATTAATTAATTATATTATCTGATTTTAATATTAGTTTAAGTATAAAAATAAGTTTCTGCTACTTAGGATCTTTCTAACTAAGAGATGACTTTTAATCCTCCCCTAATATGCTCTTAGTGTTCTCTTCACTTTTCGCTAGGTATTAGTTCAGCGAGTAATTTTTCTTGCAAAACGAACTCTTTGAGTTAGTTTTTTTTTGTTTCGCTGTAAACGAAATATGGTTTGTTTTTTGTTTGTTAGTAAACAAATTTGTTTTGTTTTGTTTTTTTCGTATTTAGTAAAACAAACGCTGTTTGGTAATTCTTTTTTTGGTTTTTTAGTAAAACGAAATTTGTTTTTTGTTTGTTTGTTTTTTTTTCTTTTTCGTTTGTTTTATTAAATAACTAGAGATGAAAGTGAAAAAAAAAACAAAAAACGATTAAATGAGAAGGGTGAGGATTTGGATTTATCGTTATTCATAACATTACAGTGTTTATTATGTTGCGGGGTAGAGATATTCATGAATTACATACTAGCTACGTTGCAATACATCGTCGATGTATGCGTTGTGCTCGCGTCGCTACACAATCCTCTCAGCCTAATTAACTAAGATCAGGTGTAGTATTTCTTGACAGAAATACTAATGTTAATACTAGTACTAATACTCGATGTTAATCATATAGAGATTGTGTAGTATTTCTTAACAGAAATACTAATGTTAATACTAGTGCTAATACTCGATGTTAATCATATAGAGATTGTGTAGTATTTCTTAACAGAAATACTAATATTAATACTAATACTCGATGTTAATCATATAGAGATTGGATTGATCATTAACTCTTATTGCATATTGAATAATGTATCATCACCTGATACGTTCCCATGGGATATTAACAACTGACGTCCTGTAGGAAACTATATTTATCGTTTTATGTCTCTTGTATATTCTATCATATTCTATGATGAAACAATACAACACAATACAAAAAATCTTCGATTTTGCGATTTTTCGGATTTTCGAGTTTTGTGACACCTAATTATTAATATTACGTATTCCTGTGGGAACTTGGTAAGGTATTGTCCCATAGGAAACTATATTAAGACTCTTGTGTAATTTTATTATCTTTTACGTAGCAAATTCAATTACAACGCTGATTTGACGATTATAATCGATGTACAGTATTAGTATAAGGTGTACAGAACGAAGATCGGTCTATAATGTAGCAAAGAAAACGTCTATAATATCGATATATTTCAAAGTCAATGTATAAGAAACTCCATCTAAAGTGTACAGAACGAAGATCGGTCTTTAATGTAGCATTATACTTAGAAAGAAAGAAGATTAAAATATACTCAAGAATAATCAGAAAGAAATTAGATAAAACATGTTTAAAATATCCTGTGATAAGTTCGTTGATTTAGATTTCTTGTTCTTCATTTTATCTTGGAGAATACCAACGAATTGATGTCTCGTTTATAATTAAATAATGTAACACCATATTCTTAAAGAGAATAATATGTATCACTAAATGAAACATACCTTTATTAAAAATCCTCCCGGTCGAGGAAACATCGTTTCCAGTATTACCGGGAGGATCTGTTCCACAAGATGTGGCTCAGAATACTTTTTTCTATAGAGGGGTGAGGCATTTTTAGTGAGGCAGTTTCATTTTTGAGTTTTTTAATGAAATTTTTGTTCCATTTTACTCTCAAACTTTCAATATTTATGTAATACAAGCATTTTTTAAACCAATTTTTTCGGTTTTTTCCGAAAAATGAGAGTGAGGCATTCTCTGAGGCAAACACGGGTACTCTGAGGCAATTTCATGGGAACTGAAGCAATTTATTTTATTATAAAAACGCCTCTGACTTGTATCGTTCTATAAAAAATCCAAATGTCCCCAATTACATCTCAAACTAAATTTCGACGTTTTAATTTTACTGAGAATGAAAATCCAGAAAGATTACAAGAATTGATATCAAAACATTTTCAATCATCTAAAAATCCATTTAAATATGTTAAATTTCAATTAGAACGCGCACCAGAAACAGGTAGAAAACATGCTCAAGGTGTCGTGTTTTTCAATAATCAATTACGAGTCGGCAAATACGTACCCCGGCAGAGAATGCCTCACTCTCATTTTTCGGAAAAAACCGAAAAAATTGGTTTAAAAAATGCTTGTATTACATAAATATTGAAAGTTTGAGAGTAAAATGGAACAAAAATTTCATTAAAAAACTCAAAAATGAAACTGCCTCACTAAAAATGCCTCACCCCTCTATAGAAAAAAGTATTCTGAGCCACATCTTGTGGAACAGATCCTCCCGGTAATACTGGAAACGATGTTTCCTCGACCGGGAGGATTTTTAATAAAGGTATGTTTCATTTAGTGATACATATTATTCTCTTTAAGAATATGGTGTTACATTATTTAATTATAAACGAGACATCAATTCGTTGGTATTCTCCAAGATAAAATGAAGAACAAGAAATCTAAATCAACGAACTTATCACAGGATATTTTAAACATGTTTTATCTAATTTCTTTCTGATTATTCTTGAGTATATTTTAATCTTCTTTCTTTCTAAGTATAATGCTACATTAAAGACCGATCTTCGTTCTGTACACTTTAGATGGAGTTTCTTATACATTGACTTTGAAATATATCGATATTATAGACGTTTTCTTTGCTACATTATAGACCGATCTTCGTTCTGTACACCTTATACTAATACTGTACATCGATTATAATCGTCAAATCAGCGTTGTAATTGAATTTGCTACGTAAAAGATAATAAAATTACACAAGAGTCTTAATATAGTTTCCTATGGGACAATACCTTACCAAGTTCCCACAGGAATACGTAATATTAATAATTAGGTGTCACAAAACTCGAAAATCCGAAAAATCGCAAAATCGAAGATTTTTTGTATTGTGTTGTATTGTTTCATCATAGAATATGATAGAATATACAAGAGACATAAAACGATAAATATAGTTTCCTACAGGACGTCAGTTGTTAATATCCCATGGGAACGTATCAGGTGATGATACATTATTCAATATGCAATAAGAGTTAATGATCAATCCAATCTCTATATGATTAACATCGAGTATTAGTATTAATATTAGTATTTCTGTTAAGAAATACTACACAATCTCTATATGATTAACATCGAGTATTAGCACTAGTATTAACATTAGTATTTCTGTTAAGAAATACTACACAATCTCTATATGATTAACATCGAGTATTAGTACTAGTATTAACATTAGTATTTCTGTCAAGAAATACTACACCTGATCTTAGTTAATTAGGCTGAGAGGATTGTGTAGCGACGCGAGCACAACGCATACATCGACGATGTATTGCAACGTAGCTAGTATGTAATTCATGAATATCTCTACCCCGCAACATAATAAACACTGTAATGTTATGAATAACGATAAATCCAAATCCTCACCCTTCTCATTTAATCGTTTTTTGTTTTTTTTTTCACTTTCATCTCTAGTTATTTAATAAAACAAACGAAAAAGAAAAAAAAACAAACAAACAAAAAACAAATTTCGTTTTACTAAAAAACCAAAAAAAGAATTACCAAACAGCGTTTGTTTTACTAAATACGAAAAAAACAAAACAAAACAAATTTGTTTACTAACAAACAAAAAACAAACCATATTTCGTTTACAGCGAAACAAAAAAAAACTAACTCAAAGAGTTCGTTTTGCAAGAAAAATTACTCGCTGAACTAATACCTAGCGAAAAGTGAAGAGAACACTAAGAGCATATTAGGGGAGGATTAAAAGTCATCTCTTAGTTAGAAAGATCCTAAGTAGCAGAAACTTATTTTTATACTTAAACTAATATTAAAATCAGATAATATAATTAATTAATAAATGTCTCGTTCCTTAAAAAAACCGTTGTTTATCAACCCCAAATTACTAAAAAAAAAATAACAAAACGAAAAATTAATTAAAACATGCTATGCCGCACAAGGATGACCATTGGGACAGCTCTTTATTCCACTAGCCCAATTAGTACGAACTGGCGGTGTAAGACAAGCATTGGAAGCTCCAAGATTATTGGCCTGTAAACAGAAACCACGACCATCAGGGTCAATATTGAACTGCCATCCAAGACAATCCGTAGCCATACACGCCTTACAACAGTCTTCGGCGGAGTTGATCCCAGGAATAAAATTATGTAATGTTTGTACAACAAAATTGTCCCATCCTGGAGCATAGGGAGCCGAACAACATGGTAGCTTGCATTCAGTTTTTGTAAGCGTACACGTCTTAGTTTCCACACAATCGCCATCTCCAAAACCGTTACCAGCACCGCAACTTTTTTTTATGAGAATTTCACTTTCACAATCACAAGTGAGAACGGGAGTGGGAAAAGCGGTGCAAGAGGTTGAGATCGTCGTTGTCGTCGTCGTCGTCATTGTTGTGGTTGAACATTTCACAGCATCAACAATGATATTAGATGCCAACAATACCGATAGGTAAAAAAGAACAATCGAAGAAAGTTTAAGAGATTGTCCCTTCATTACGAGTCAGGTTGTAACCGGATTAAAAAAATACGATTGTATTTTTTGTCGAAACGTAAACGATAGCATATTTATGAGATTTTCCTCGTATTTTTAATACATGAATATTTCCGACAGGAGATAAAGTTACACTGCATGTATATTTGTCCTTTGTTGTAGGGTAATCAGATATTGAAAATTGATGAACTACATTACTGTTTGACTGATGCAAAGGGGTATGCATATTTAGCGTCGTACATAGCAGAGCTCTTTGGAAAAAATAGAAGATTTATTGTAGGTAGTGTAGAATCGAGTTACTGTTTGAGGGTTGGTACAAAGAGATGTGTATAAAACTTACATATTAGTACTTACAGCTTTGAAAAAACGAGTAGGAATGATAAAGAAATTAGGTGATAGTAGTTATTTAGAAGGTTCGTAAAATATGAACAATTTAGTAAACGAATATAATCGAACATATAGGGACGCAATTGAGGAAAAGAAAGAACGGAAAAAACATTATACGGTAAAAGTCACATAGGAAACGTGCTCTTGTACAAATTTCATATGAAGATACGATAAACTAAATATATATTACCAGACATAATTAACATTTGTTCTTTGTGGTTTTTGGAATGGGAGTGGAGAGCGAGACGAGACGGAGAAGACATAATGAGAAGAAAAGTTAACAATGAAAGTATAAACTTGATCAAATTTATATCAATCGATAAATCTAAACAACGCGTATTGATCAACGAATTTATATGAATCGGTATTGATCGACGCGTTTCTATATGAATAATCAATACTATAAAAATTTCTATATATCAATATGATTAACCAACTGATTCATAAATATAGACAATTTGGTGGACGAGTTCAATAGAACGGTATCGAGATGCAAAGAAGGTAAAACTCAAGCAGATGGTCGAGAAGTCAGTAAACTCGATTGGTCACAGTGGTTTATTGACCATCGAGAAAAGAAAGAAAAACGTACAATCACCTCGACCGAATGACTTGAAACGAAATTAAATATATTTAACATAAACTTTATTGAGTCATAATCATATTATAAAACTTGAACATATTATTGAAGTATATGAAAGTTGATACATATTTATAGCTTATTATTTATATATCATAACTAAAAAGCCCCCATGTATCATTTTTTTATTCTCTCAAGCTGTTTACTAATCCTTTAAACAACGTTACTAAAGCAATATAACACTAAAAAAAAACAATATCATTTGCCTTTATAAAAACGAAAACTAAACGTTCATCTTAAAAACAAATTACTCCATATAACATTGTTGGTAAGAGTTTACATACTTCCAAATATAATAGATGAAGAGTATATTCTTTTGGATATTATAGTCGGGGTGTAACCATCTTCTAACGGTTTAACGGCGAAGATTAAACGTTCTGGTTATACAAAATGTTGTTTTTTCATAGACATGTTCTCAGCAGTCCCCTCTACTCATATTGGTAGTCTTTACCTCAAGTACATTAGTAAAACCTTTCTCTACAACAGTTTGAAGTTGAGTAATACAAGGGCCGTTCCATGCATCAGACCCCAGACTTCGAAATTCAAACCCCAAATATTTGTGCAGATCATTTTTTACAATACGTCTCATGCCGATTTGGGGGTTATCCTGAGAGGGGTCATTGCTTTGCATACAAATTTCACGTTTATAGACAATTAATTAGCAATCGTATTTTTACCAATTCGGAATTCGATGGACAAGATTGAATTCCCACTTACAGTGTGTAAAGCAAAGAAATTGCGTAACTTTCCCCAAAAATAAACTAAATCACGTAAACTTGGTTTCTATTAAATAGCGTAATGTCTTTTAGAAGCCACATTTTTAACAAAATATTAACAAAATGGCAAGCTCCGATTTAAAAAACCAGCGAGAAAGTGTAATACATTTTTGGAACATATGAGTCCGTTCAGCCAAAGACATTCACAAAGCAACAAAGGTTCCAATGCGGACTATCTATAATAACTTAAAAAGTTGGTATATAGTATAGACCACACATCGGTCAAAATATACTACTATTACTATAACCAGACAAATTCTACAGACCTGTTCGCTAAAGCCTTAGCTACAGATAAATTAAAAGTGCGTTTAATGTAAACATGCTTACCAATTGAGGTAAGGCTGCAATTATGGAACAGTACTTCTTTAAATATTAATATGTTATTTTAATATCTCGTAATAATATTATATTATTGTAGATCGGGTAATGTGTTAGGCAGAACTAAAAATACTGTAGGTAAAGGCATTTGTTCGTTTGGAAAATGTCATTGCATCTCAATGCTGAAAGAAATACGGTACGTATCATATGGAAGACATTGCTAAACTATCAAATACTACACTAATACGCGCACTTATTACAATGACGCAGGCAAATCGCACAAAAAGATTTGCTTGTTTACTATACTTAACCAATCAAATACTGTAAGCAATTTTCTGAAGTGTCGCGCTAAAACTTTAATCGTGGGAATACCCAAGTCTCTTAATCCTTCCTCGTCCTTTGTAGCAGTTACCATGGCCTACTATGTTAGCGATGTTATGTATGTAGAGGATACGAGAGCAGCCAATGAGGATAGTCTCAGAGAGATGGAAGGCAAGTTGAATGGTCGAGGTGCCTTTTACTTTGTGGCTCTCAACTTACCTTACCTTCCCTACTGATAGATGTTATGCGCATGATTAGCAATCAATGGGACTTCATGCTTGATGCCGACGTAAGTAGATAAAAAACAGCACGATTACACTGCTCATAATTTTCGAATTGCACTTTTTATCTATATTTAATAAATATGCATTTCCTGCATCTAGTTCAATCCAGTTAAGCTTGCGCTGGCATTGCTTGACGATAGTTCTCTTGGTAAAGACTACGGAGCGTTTCAACGTACCATGGATACCTTGAATAAAGCTCTTGGACTTATAGTAAATGGTAAAGCATGTTTTTGATCCGTTTCAGGTTGCATTTGATTCAAATGGGTTAGTAATCTTACTTTCTGTGTAGATTACTATCAGGGATTCAACAGCTCAATTGGAACATTTGGTGGTGTAATTATGAACATTGAAGGTAATTTAGAGTGTTATTGAAAGACACCAGTTTTGTGTTATGATGTAGAATGCATTATCGAGTACGAATATTCTTTTCATGATGAATCAGATTCTCAAGAACGAGTTTGCGAAATAAAGAATCAATTGAAGCAATGCAAGCAATCTTTACTGTCAAAGCGGGCGGATTTGATGCAGTTGTGGTTTCGTAGTCAACAATACAAAGAAATGATAAGGATATTGGATTTAATGTATGTGGACAAAAGATATCAGTTAGCGAGTAAATGAAAATAGCATAACTAGTCATATTACCGGGTTTGGGTATTTTGCATCCAACAAGTCTACTGAATGCATTCTGAATACACAGAGAAGAGGTTAAAGGAACACCGGAAAAGCTTGAAGTCCTGATTCGTGAGAAACACTTTCTCACTGCTGCCAAGACGCTTCTCGAGGCCATTCGCACAATGGACAGAAGAGAGATGGCTGGCATTGGGGCCCTGTCTGATCTGAAACGGTATCTTAAAGCACAACAGAATGTGCGTAAAAGTTTTATTCACATAGACCATTATTCCATCAACACCTATGACACTCAATTTAGTTATTAAGCTAACTGTCTAATAACGCTGTTACATGTCTTTCCTCTTTTAATCAATTAGTCATTTCACGAAGTCCTTATAGAGCAGCTTCATAACCATCTCTATCTCAAAAGCCCGTACTGTGATAGCCGATGGGTTAGATATTCTAAGGACCAGGCTTCATGTAAGTAGTTAAAGCATAAGAAAGTATTATTAGTAAGCCTTTATATTAATAATGTGGGTGTACTGGAATCTAATCTAATGCGTCCAGGCAGTACCTGCAGCCATTTTTGACTTGAATTCGGAGAAGGAGATACGATCAGTGTCTAATCATGCGGATGGCATTGGAAGCAAGAGCCAGAGTCTTTCCGGTAATTGTACAAATTTTTAGTTCTGTCAGTCAACTTTAACGCACACGTGTTTAATTTTCATGCTATATTAACAATCGTATCTACAGTCAATACGTCAATATCGATAAACTCATCGCTGGTTCCCAGATCTCCTCGATCCCCAATGCTGACTTCATCGCCTAAACCAATAAGCCCTGCTTTGCCTAAATCAACAAGCCCTGCTTTGAATTCATCAGGAGATGATGAAGAAGCGGTATGGTGAAAACGCTGGTTATATTAATGCATAGTATTTTGACTGTTATATGGCTACAACGAGTTAATTATTATAATATTATTGTGATTATAGATTAAAGAAAATTTAGATATTAATCCCGAGTCGGATTCATTTTATTACATGGAAATAATATTAGAATCGCTGGCATTGATTGGAAAACTACCACTTGCACTGGAGGTTAGTGTGAAGGCTGATTTAGTAGACTAGCCTTTAGATTTATGAGACTTTAACCAAGCATACATTTTTAATAGACGATAAGTCAAAACCTTCCAATAGAAATATATCAACTTGTGGACAAAACTATTGCTGAAGTAGAAGAACGGTAATTATTTTTTCCGAATACATCACTAAGCAATAGCGCATGTCATATTTAATAGCTCTATTGTAACAATTTTTTCAGATTTCTAGATATCTTCCTCTTTTACTTACACATTTTATTATTCC